ATTATAGGTCATGTTGCTGCATGCAATTTCCTCTCATTTGTATCAGATTGATGAAATGTATTGAAATGTTTACTGAAGTTTCGATTGGAGAAGTGAATAAAATAACCACTTGGGCTGCCTCAAATTTTTATTTACTCATTCAACTACCTTCAATTGCGTTCGCCAAGAAAACTTTTAGTGAAATTTTACTATTTCTAGCACAATGAAAGATGGTAGGGGAAATTTGTTTATAAATGCAAAAAAAAAGAAAAAAGGGAAAAGAAGAGCTCAGGGATTGCGAGATGTTTGATCCTTAGATGGATCAGTAGGCGTGACTGAATCAACGGTCACGAATCGCAGGTCGTCACAGCCCTTCAGGAGATTGCACCAGCCGGGAATCGAACCCGGGTCTGTACCGTGGCAGGGTACTATTCTACCACTAGACCACTGGTGCGTTGTTGAGTTGTATCCGAAATAAATATAATTTAAATGTAACAAATCAACCTGCCATCAACCCTATTCCTAGTACGGTGGTACCTATATACCTAAGATACATACGTGTGTATCCAATTTTTTTTAAAATAAATGAAATTACTTTTCATTTTCTTGTGCACTTACAAGATATGAATATATTTTTTTTCAAATGGAAAAATTTATGAGAACCTCATTTTTAAATTTATAAATTCATGTAAAATATCAGTCCAATTCGTCTGCTTCTTCACGCTCTTCCTCAACATGAATCACTCTCTCTTCTTCATCTTGGCCAATGCTTCCTCAGAGGTCGACGGCGATCTGTTGATTAGGATTTTCTCAAAAGAGGGGCTTTAAGCATATATATATATATAAGGGCTTCAAGTGATTACATCATTTTTAAATAAGGGTATAAAGAGACCTATGCGCGAAGAGATTAACATATAAAGAAAAACTAACAAAGAAAAAAAATATATTCAAATTGCAGATGAAAATAGTTGTGCGTGAAGAGATGAGGATTATCAAAATGCAGCGAGCGTCCGTGCAAAAGATGGGATATTGAAAAAAGAAGAAATGAGATTTTTCTCTTGAGTACAACAACATCAATGAACAATGAAGATCAGAAGATATGGAGAACCCATTTCTCAAAACACATTGTCAAGTCTCTTCACCCTATCAATCTCTCCTTTCTTCTTCTTCTTCTTCTTCTTGCGATTACCTTGTTCAATCCGCAGACTCACTCCAACCTCATAGCAGCTCCAATGGCAGTCTTTTTCCATGGCCTTCTTACTCCACCTAGAGCTTTGACGCCATTGGTGGCAGAGCTCAACTCCCAGATCTAAGAATTGATTGGTTTGATTTCTTTTTCTTTTTAATTTTACCCGCATATTGTTTTAGCTACTAGAAAAAAAAATTGTCGGCCGGTGACCTTAGGCCCTTAATTGAGATTGACTTGATCAATCCGAATCCTTATTCGAAACAAGATCCACTTTGAATCCTCTTTTGAGAATGTGATCACACTTCGAATCGTTATTCCAAAATTTTTCCATTAATTATTTTCCCGAATTTGCTGGATCGTCGGCGTCAGTTGTACTTATTGTACGGATTTGTCATTTGTTCGTATCTCTTAAGAGCAACTCATCTAAATAGGTTTGTTATTTAAATCGATTGTAGTTTCGATCGATTTTGTTTAAGTCGATTAGGTATTTTGGATTGCTCCATGCTCAGTAGTAGTCAGTGTCGTCAATGGATTTCCTTTAGAATATTGTTTCGTTGGTTTCTTTACACACAAAGTGCCCATTACTGTTGTCTATTTTACTGAGATCGGGGCTCGCGTGGATCATGCTGGAGTCTCAGCACGAGCTGGAGCACTGGAAGGGTGCGTACTACCTTGCTAGAATGTATTGAAATGTTTACTAATGTTTCAATTGGTAAAATTTTATTATTTCTAGCACTGCTCCTTATAATAAATAAAAGGAATTTTTTTTATCTATAAAAGCAAAAACAAAACCAAAAAGAAATAAAAAGGGCCTTACCAAAAAAAAAAGAAATAAAAAGGGAAAAGAAGAGCTCAGGGATTGCGAGACGTTTGATCCTCAGATGGATCAGTTGGCGTGACTGAATCAACGGTCACGATCGCAGGTCGTCACAGCTCTTCGGGAGATTGCACCAGCCGGGAATCGAACCCGGGTCTGTACCGTGGCAGGGTACTATTCTACCACTAGACCACTGGTGCTTTGTTGAATTAGCATATGCTGATGATTTTACTTAAATCTCAAACCTCAACCAACAATCATTCAAAACAACGCTATTCCTAGTACCTATATACCTAAGAAACATGTTCACAGCTTTCGTGAAGCATTTTCGAATCCGTGAGTGTTAATTACGTCGACACCGAATGATACTCATCAAATACCCAATTTTTAAAAAAATATATATATTTACATCAGTTTTCATATCTTTCGATGCGGTTGCCAGGCATGAAAATATTTTTTTCCCAAATGAACTCGTGTAAGAGCGACGGAATATTCCATTACTTAGCTATTAAACAAGCTTCTCATGCAAAAAGAAAAGAAAGATGATTGGCGAGAGTGACGACAACTCCTCCGAGAAAATATTGGGCAGGGCCGTCCATATCACCATGGGGGCCGGCTTATTCATTGATCGCCACGCGTGTGGTAGATGGATTTCACATTGTCAAATTTTTCGGAACTCCCTCGCTTCTCTTCTCTCCCCTCGCTTCTGTCTCCATTGCTGACACACACTCTCTTCGCCGTCACCTCTCTGATTCGTTATCAGCCCTCTCCTTTACCTGTCTCGGTTCCAACCGGTGGAAGACGAGGCGAAATTGTCGCTTCTTCTTGTCTTCTTCCTTCATCTTCTTCTTCCATCTCCGCTTCTTGTACGCCAATGATTGGGTGCCCCTTCCTTTGGATTAGGGACTTGATGAATCTGAGACTAGCTTTTTGGGACGAAAGGGTTAATACCATGAAAAATCTTAAATTAATATATTTGTGATATATTTACTCTAAATTGATATATCTATGATAAATTTATCTTCATTTAGTTTTCGTTAAATTTTACCGTCAAATTGCTGAGTTGGATGACATGTGACAGTTTACGGGTGTTCCACTATGGGGTTTTACCTCTCTGTTTGTCACAGGTTTATCAATTTATGATTTTTCGTGGTATTAATCCAATTTAACGGAGGGTAAATTCATCACAAGTGTATCAGTCTGGGGTTTTTGGTGGTAAAAAAAAATTAGTTTTGGGTAAATTTGTCACAGGTATACTAATAGTCTCTCCCTCATACATCGGACTTAGGTCGGAGCACCAACAACTCTCTCCGAGTGATTGTTGGGTCCAAATTTGTTAGTAACCCGGACTCTGATATCAGTAATTGGTGGTTTTTGGCTTTTCTTGTCTCAAAAGCTAGCTCTTTATAAACCGAGATCACTACTCCATTCCACAACCGATGTGGAATGAACTCCAACAAATCCAAGTGATGGAAGACGATGGATCCATGTGTTTTGTAGAACATACAAACATGTGTCACGGGTTGATTGATCTAGCGTTCCTTTACCCGTGCGGCCTCAGGAATTTTTTTCCCAATTCAACCTTCCAACACTCACTCACAATGATATTAGAGAGAGAAATTTAGAGGAAACCCATTTATATGCAAGTACAGGCTCGACCGTATCCGTAGATCCTTCCTCGATCTAGCAGTGGAGATCGCATTTCCCCATTTACCATCTACCTCCATTTATTATAAGAGGATACAATTACAATACCATCCGCCCCCAGGAGTATAGAAAACCTTAGGACTTAGAATCCTTCGAGGTCCGCCTGCTCATTAATAAATCAATCACGGTCCATCATTCAGAAAACCTCGAGAACGATCCATTTCTCTGGGCCGTGACACGTGTATATACCCGATTATCTAGTTGGCTCAGACAACGAGGAAAGAAAACAGTCGAGTTATCAGACAACCAAATCCGTTCATATAGTTATGTGCCCGAAATAATGATGCTTAGCTTCTACAGCCTAGCTAGTGATCTTCTGGACCAGCTTGCATTATGAATGCTGTAAATCCATGTGCTTGACTTAATGACGGTGATTTGGGAAGTCGAGAAGGCAATTTCGAGGTTTCTTCTTGGGCATAGAATCTGACATCTGTAGCTTGTCCATGTACGACGATTACAGTTTTTTATTGGCTTGGAATCCGATATCATCTCGGCGAGAAGTTCGACTTGGTCGAAGTGTCTGTCGTGTCGACGCCGGTGTTGGTTTCTTGACGAAGTATACGCGTATTGTGGAAAGGGAGAAAACCGGGCAAACACCATTCAGTTCGACCACGAAATGCATGCACATGCATGAAAACAAAGCTCCTTTGCATGCAGTTGCTATTTTCCTCTCTATTTTTTTTACTTCTCATGACTGGATCTCGATCTCATTACCTTTCTTTCCTTCACGTTCCTATCATGAACTTATCGCCATCGACTTCATATCTTGACGTGGTAATTATTCCAGAATTACATGCATCCTGATTTCATGTGATTTTTTTTTTGCACAGGAAATTTTCTTTTCCTCGAACGACGCCACAACAATTTTTCTTTCGTTCAATACCACGAGTAATCTTGTCGAATGAAGGTCGCTCTTTTCGGGTGCAAAGAGCTGTACTCTGTGCATGTGGATGAAAGACAGAATTTTACGATGTTGGTCTCTCCGAAAGAAGTATCTTTACGATCACCAATATCTTTTCTTAATAAGACGAGAGATTTACTCCCCTGGCGGGTTAATATTTTGTTGAGAGCACTCTAGGAGTAAAATACTTAATGCATTGGGTAGATACGAGGAATTGTGTCCTTAAGATCATTTAGGCAATTGGATCAGTCGAGGTACGCGAAAACTGGACTAGATGCCACTCGACTACTTAAATGAAAAAATCAATGTCTTTTCTTCAACGATATATATTTCATAGAAGAACTCGGAATATATAAATTTTCAATCCAAACACACACAACTGTGAAACAGAGGATTATTGATAATGGTACATGAAATCACAAAAAATTTCGTAAAAAGCGATATGAAATATCAGTAGAATTAGGAATACAGGACATATTTTCGGCCAACGTCGGAAAGTATTGGTAACTTTGGTCTGTTTTTAATATCTACATGGTTGAGCAAACCAAACCGGAACTCCGGTCACTAATGTGCCACCGGCCACCTTTCTTTCACCCATCGGAACTCCCAACTCAGGCTGCAGCTGCGGCTTCGGCATCACGTATGCCGGCGTTGTCGATTTCACCGAAATATTGATAATACCATTACGTATACCATAATTATCTCTCAACCTATAACTTAGAAAATGCACATAATTTTCCGGCGTAAGGCCGCCGAGAATATCCGAAACCGGTATTCTCACTCCACCGACGAGCTTATGATCACGCCACGATGACCGCTTGCAGTGGACTTCCACGGTAATAAACTCCCCATGCATTGACACGTCCAAGCTGAGCTTCTCGTTCCACTTGGGATTCGTACCTTCCTCCGCCGCCGGTTTCGTCATGCAGTGGTCGTCGGAGTCCGCTCGGACCACCATGATGGCATCCTTCAATGGCTTTTTATGGTATCGCAGGTCCTCGCCGGATATGGCTGTGACTTCTAAACTTCGCTTCATTCTCTCTCTACTCGCAACGTTGGGTCAACTCAAGAGTACGTAAAATATCAGAACGTGGGATGTGAAGACGAGACAGACGGGATCGATGTTGGCGCAGGATGGAAAAGATGAGCGAGCGTTTATATAACGAGACGCGCCCCCGTGTTTGGAAGGGAAACAGGCGTGAAATGGCGATGAAGGAGATGAGTTGTTTCTCTTTATCTTAGGGTCCGGTTCGTTCGTGGTTCCGACAGAGTTGACGCGGTCCAACGAGGTGCAAATCGAGTCGATGGTTGACTTTTCTGTGTGCAGGAGTGGGAGGCAGAGAGAGAAAAGACTTTGATTGGTCTTAGTTTACGGATTGTTGTCGATCGGGAAGGATGATGACGCGTGCAAGCATTAGCTGCGCGTTGGCGTGTGTTTTGGAGTTGAAGATTGTTAGAATCAAAGAATCTACCCTAATTAAATAAATCGAAAGAATGGTAATTTGTCACGATGAACCTTCATAAGATGCAACCTTTGTCCTTTTATATACTTTGATTGCTCGGGGAATTTTCCAACTTGCAAAAGGGTGTTTCCTGTGTACGAAACGAAGCGACCGAGGGAAAGAGCTCCGGCTAAACCCCAGCAAAGAAAAAGCCGACAAGAGAGGACAAAAAGTCGGGTCTGATTCCTATATTCCTATGGATTTGAGGAAAACGAATTTAAATTTATTAACATAAATTGTCTTAGAGATATTTAGGAATATTTTCCTTAATATTCCAATTAATTCTCTCGTGATGTTGCATATATCTAAGAAATTTTTTATATCTTCTTAGATGGTTTTCAAATAAAACTTATAAATAGGCTTATATACTCTTCATTATGGCGTATCAAAATACACAAAAATTACATAAATCTTTCATTTTGCTTTGTTCTTATCTACTTGTACCAAATTAGAGTTCGTAACACCAGAAGGTGAGTCATTGATATCTAGATGTTTTGACATTCACGCTCAAGGGGACTTGACCTAACATTGAAGCGTCAAAATGAGAGCCGAAGCAAGTGGAAGGTCTAGAAAGATTCAGATAGTAGGACTTTATATATTTCCCATTCGATGTTAGAAGTTGTGGCATTACTGTCAGGCTTATTTAGAAATTAAACGGTAAAATTGAAACAACGATGTTTTATATCAGTTTAATGGGCTAATTCTTAGTATACCTAGCTTTACTCTTACCGAAAACATGTTTTTTTATACTATATGTTCTAGCATCCTGTCATAAACACAACAAAATTTAGTTAATTAAAATTTTGTATTGCGGCAGAAAGTTTCCAAATTTCCTTCCTAACATAAGAAAATCAATTACATGAGAAAATAGAATCCACAAAAATAGAGTTTTAAGAATTTAAGGAGTCAACTAATCTGTTTGATGACTTGAATTTAAACTCTGCGGGACTTGGTCCGTCTAACATATGGTATCAAAGGCCACGTCGCGAGTTTGTGCTTATCCTTAATCCGTCCATAATACCCTACCCGTTATATCCAAATCTGTATCATGCTCTCGAGGACAAACTCAGGCGCGAGATAAAGTATTAAGAAATACGCTAATTAAACATATAATCGGCTCATTGAAATTTTTTAGAAATGGTTTCTCTTTTTCTGTATACTTGTTTAGAAAAACCCTAAAGAATTCATGGAATGACTCGGTCTCAAGGAACGTGTATTACTCTAGTTATGAACACAGAACCATGTGGGCCAAAGTCGGTCCTTTTTGGTGTAGCTTTCTACCAATTTGACGCCCCGAAGGTCAAGCAGTGATTTCAAAATTGTTGAAATCGTACTAGCGGTATTGGTTGGAACATGAAATTGATGAATTTTCGGGGAAATGTTTTCTTGTGTGTCGGGTAAATTCCGGAACCCATTTGAGACGACAGCGTCGAGCAAATGGATGGAGTCGGTTGACCCGAAGAAAGTTCTGTACATTCTCGGGCATTTAAATAATATTCCCCTTCGATGTTTCCCACGTTTGTCCTAGTGCTTGTTCATGTTATTTACCTGCAAGTTTCCGTGCACGAGAGCGCATACTTTTTGTCATCTTGATGCAGGACTTACCGCTCGTATGAAGTTTAGAATGCCGCTGATTAAGGGTATAACCCACCCATTATGTTACTGTAGATCCGAGTTGGAGTTTTAAATGCTTTCGTATATAATTGACTTGCTTTCTCACGTGCCGCTAGTGCTAACATACGTAATCCATATGACAAACAGACTGTCTTCATGCTTGTGTTAGGTCCTTTTCGGTAAAGGACTCACTCAAATGCAGTTAATCAGGTATACTTGACCAATTATGTTACTGTAAATTAACATTGATGTTATAAAAGTTTCCACGTAAAATTGAGATTTTTTCTTCGTACGTTACTAACACGCGTTCTGCGTTCATTCTCATCTTCTGCCAATGTAGATTTACCTTTTTTTTAATTGCGCCTTGCATTTACCACCTCTTATGCGAAATTACTAGCTTCAACTTAAGTGGTTTTTCAACTTTTTTTCCGGTTAAGTTATCAACTACAGTTTTCGAATACCAGCTCTGATTGGAGTCAGTTACTATTTGGTTTTCCTAATCTACCTACTATTTTATGGGGCTACATAATTGAGAGAAAAAAGTTGCTAAAATACTGCGATAAGCCTCTCTCTCTTTCTCCCTCCCTTCCTCTCTCCTCTCTCTAGTTTTAGCATCTCTTCGTCTCTTCAACTTCCAGAGAGGAGGGATTTGACTTAGATCTCTCCCTCGTCTCCTTAGTTGCTTTTCCTTCTATTTTCGCTTGTTGCTTTCCTTACTCTCCAGATCTAGATTTAGATATGGGAGTTTTGCTCTCCCGATTTTAGGTCTGAAAGCTTTTCTCTTTGATCTAATTTTAGATTTAGGAGTTTTAATGAATAAGTACACTATTTCCAATTTCATTGGTGTTTACAACAGCTTCGGTGTCAAATATGTGCTCATTCAACTTTGTTCAATTTGTTTTTGTTCAAAGTTTTGGCGTCTCGCACTTGCTAAAAGACTCGCTCTCACAGGTGTCAAATATGAACTTGTTCAACATGTTTATGTTGTCTCCATATAGTGATGATATTGGGGACGCCGAACCTAGGCGTACACCGCCGAAAGGTAAAGTCGTAATTTAATTTGAAGATCCCATCATATGCTCATTATTGATGATGATATGTGATTCGGTGATCAGCCGCTGATCCTTTCGATTAGCTGCGGTCACAAATCTATTTTTTGAAGGACGAGCGTATAATTATCTCGATCAACTATGTTCTGATGATATACCTTGATTTCTGATTTTTGGTTTGTTTTAGAGCTCTACGGATTTGCCTTGTTACGGTGACTTTAGAGATTTCTTATAAATCCTTTTTTGTATCATTTTGGTAATGAATGGAAATTTCTTTTGACAAAAAATAAAATGGAGAGAAGTTGATATCTGAAAAAAGAAACCGAATAAATAATCTAGAACTAGTTGATAATCTAATCGGAAAGTTCTTCTATCAAGATATTCAACTAAAAATTAGTAAATTCATGTAAGAGCCGATGAAAACGTGTTTGTAAGAGAGATAAATAGAGCATTTACCCCATGGACCGATAAGAATATAGCACGATATATATATATATATATATATACTGTCTGTCGCTGATTGGTTGTTCCGTAGATTTGACTAATAAAATTAAGAAAGGCGGAGGTCGTCGCTTCACGGGCAGCGATTGATTGTTCCATAGATTGACTAATAAAATTAAAAAAGGCAGAGGTCGTCGCTTCATGGGCAGCGATTGGTTGTTCCGTAGATTGACTAATAAAATTAAGGGATATATTTACTAGAAGTCCTAAAACTTGTCACGAAAGTACAATTGAGTCCTAAAACTTGCAAAAAGTGCAACTAAGTCCTAAAACTTGTAAATCAATTGGTCTAATTGAGTTCTAAAGTTAACATGTCAAATTTACTAATGGAAAACATTGATGTGGCGTTGACGTGGCTTATTTTAATATGTGGCTTATTTTAATTTTCAAATTTTATTTAACTTAAATTTAAAAATAAACTAAATAATAATAAATAATAAATAAAAAGAAAAAGAAGGGGAAGCCGTGGGCATGTGGCATTTGTGACCAAGCTCGACCGCCCGCCGGTGGCCGCCGCCACGCCGCAGGAAGGGACGGCTTGGGAGACCGCCTTTCGATCCGGGGAGGGCACGACCCTCGCCCTCCCCTGTGTTCGGGCTTGTAGACCCCTAATAAATAGTGGCCTTTGCCCGGGCATGGACCGAGTGAGAATATGGGCCGGAAGGCCCGACGACCTCCGCCGGCCCTTTCCGGACGGCGTGGTGGCGGCCACCGGCGACGGCGAGGGCTTGGCCACGGCCACCGGTTGTGCCTCTTCATCTCTTTTTTTTTAATATATATATATTTTAACTTTTTGCTTTTTTATCTAATTTAATTTATAGTTTTTAATTTTTTTTCTCATGTGGCGCTTGTTGGATGCCACATCATTGTCACGTGTCTCGAAAAAATAAAAAAATAAGACACGTAAGTATTTTTCGTTAGCCTAGTTTGACGGTATTAATTTTAGGACTCGATCGAATCAACTGGACAAGTTTTAGGATTTGATTGTACTTTTTACAAGTTTTAGGACTCTAATTGTACTTTCGTGATAAATTTTAGGACTTCTAGAAAATATATCCCTAAAATTAAAAAAGGCGGAGGTCGTCGCTTCATGGGCAAACAGAAACTTTGCTAAGTCGTCCGCGCGGGTGTTGGGATATTACACGGCAATGATGACACATGAATGCATTTGCGACTCTGCTCTTCATATATTATTAGTGACATCTTACGAACGAACCAGTAAGAGCTAGTGTTGTCATATATATTGCTGTCGCAACGAAAAGAAAACTGGACGTATCTAAAGTGAGCTCATAAAGAACGACTGACTTTGAGTCAACCGACAGGTGCGTCACTTTTGATGTGGCCTAAAACAATATGTCAGGATCATCTCACCAACATGGCGCCATCGTTCAATGTACATCTTAAAATTCTAACGCATTGCATGGTGAATTTCGTCGATGCAATCTCCAGCAAATGAATGTGTGGTCGGAGAAGACTAATGAGCAATGTACCTAAGGGGCCACGACCCGTGTTAACATTAACATCTTCTGCTTCTGCAAGTGATCTGCATTCGATTCCTATCCTTACCATGCAACTGGCCCGAAAGGAAAACAGAAAGAAAGGGTAGTGTTTCAATGGAAACAAGAACGATCCTCCATCAACTTAAGCATGAAACACTTGTTAGATGTATGCCCTAAAATTACCATGTAATAGTTACATGTTAGGGGTTTAAGTTGTACTTTCAATTACATTATTTCACATACGAAGTTACACGTGTGCGCAAAATGGAATCTGTCTCCTTGTTATATGCAAGGTACAATAATGATGTCCTATGCAATCTAATCTTGACACTGCATTGAAATCCTCGGCCGTGGTTGTAACCGAGAATGAACCTGTTCATATCTCATATAAAGTGCATGTCAATTAGATTTGTGCATATGATCGAATTGGTGACTTGACAAATATTCCATGGTCTTTGTTCGATCGGGACATAGTAAGGCGGAGGGATTGAATTACTGTAACCAAAGCGACGGGTTCATTATGTTCTTAAAACATTCACACTGTCTGGGTAGCCATGACATATTGCTAGATGTCAATCATGGCTTGTAGGACCTAGAGGTTGATCGGGACAATAAATTCTCTTGGGAGTACTAATGTGTTAGTGCAAGTCTTACTACCAGCTCGGTGATGAACCTAGGGATGTCACACACCATAACTAATTTTGGATGACGTAGTATGGAAGAGACGATATTGCAAATATGTTTGCAATCGAATGAGTCGGACTGAAATTAAATTAAATGGGATTTAATTTAATTCAATTTTTGTCATGGGCGTGTGTGCATATGATGCTCACAAAATACACATATGCTGATCATGCACTTCTATATTTGTATATACATGTTTATATTTATTTATATAAAAAAAAAATTTCGCATGCACGTGGCCAGCAAGCGCTGACCATGTGCATGGCACACTGATCAACAAACGGTTGCTGACCGTGTGCATGACACACACGATCAGCAACCGTTGCTGATCGTGTGCAAAATGCATGGCACACGGTCAGCAAACGGTTGCTGACCGTGTGCATGACACACGATCAGCAACCGTTGCTGATCGCGTGCAACGATGCACACATGCGATCAGCAACTGTTGCTGATCGCACATTATTAATGGCGCGATCAGCAACAGTTGCAAAACGATGAAGAAAAAAAGCGTATGCAATTATTATGTGTTCGTAAGAGTTAAGAAAACACGTTTTCTCTTCTCGACGTCGTGACTGAAATATCGAGAGTGCGAAGAATTGTCGCAACAAGATTGCTAGCAAATTTTAACTATACATGTTCTGTAGAAATCTAAGAACACTCTGGGATCGATCCGGCAGCAGACTAAAGTAAGAATGAGGAAGCCATTTTAGGTTTATGAAACCATGGAAATAAGGATCTCCTCCTTTCTTTTCCCTAAGTTAGGGCTTCCTCTCCTTTCCCTTGAAGCCGCTACCTCCCTGCAATGCCGTCCCCTTCTTCCCTCCCTACCACCTCTTCCTCTCTGTCTCCCTCTTTCCTCTTTTGAAGTACTCTGTCTATCTTTTCTCTAATGATCTGTTCTAAGAGTTTGTGTGTTTGAACAAAGTTCTGCAATTGATCTTGGGTATACATGGAGACTAGTTTGGCCATTCGTCCAATCGACAACCACCAAAGAGGATGTTCGTATTGTGACTCCACAGTCTCTCTGAGATTATGTCGCTCTCCTCTCCCGATTTAGATTTAGGTCAAGTTTTGAGGGTTTTACTCTCTCAAACTAATTCTAAAATATAGATCCAGGAGCTCCTTATAGGTATTTGATCTGTGTTCTTTCAAAATTTTGATGTTGGTGTCTCTGCACGGCAATGGAGATGAGAACATTGAACCTAAACGCGCACCGTAAATCATTGTAAATGGAGTGGGAGATCTTGGCTTGTGCTCATCACTGAATCAGATGATTGGCCACCGATCGCTCATGGTAGTAGAACTGTGTTCTTCAAGGTTGAGGGTGTACTTCTAGCTGCGGACTGTGATTTATTTTGTAGTTATTGTGGATTCGCAAATCTTGAAAGTCCAAATTCTTAAAAAAGTGAACCCCACAACGATTAAGAATAGTCACGTAAGCATTTCTCATTTCAAAATTAGTCCAAAGCTTTTTGCCTCTGTTATACATACGCAAGAAGATGCTCTCTCTATAATAGTTTTGAAGCACGGCTGTGTAACTGAGAGCCAAGAGAAACCAGAAGAGAAAAGAGAAAGAATGTCACGTTTTAGAAACAGTATGGGCGGCCTCAAATTGAGGATGTTAGCCATACCCATATATTATCAATCCATGAAATTTTCAATTGCAAGTACTGTGCTTACAATGTTGTGTGTTAGCAATAGAAAAAACAATCTAAAAGAAAAGGTCAACTTAGTTTGATCAGCTCTCGTTTAACATCTACAAGGCTGAGCGTAACAAACTGGGACTCCGATCACCAATCCACCGGCCGCCATCATCTTCCTCTGATAACCAACGGGCACTCCAATCTGCAGCTGAGGAACCTCGTATGTGGGTGCCGGCGCAGCCATTTTTGCCGAAATGTTAATGATGCCATCCGTCTGCACGCCATTAGAATCCCTCAACCTATAACTGAGAAAATGCATGTAACCCTCCGGCGTGCCAAGATCCCCGGCGAAATCCGAGACCGGTACCATCGCTCCGCCGACGACCTTGTAACTTCCCGACGAGCTCTTGCACTTCACTTCCACGGTAATGAAGCCTGCGTGCAGCGGCAAGTCAACGATGAGATTCTCGTTCCACCGAGGGCTTGTTCCTCTGTCCGGCGCCGGTTTCGTCGAGCATTCGTGTCCGGGCTCCACTCGGACCGCCACGACCGCGTTCTTCACGGGCTTTTTGTTGAGCCGCAGGTTCTCTCCGGATATCAAGGTGATTTCCAAGGCTCGCTTCATCCTCTTTTCTTCCTTTTCTGTGTTGAAGATCACCGCTTGGAAAGATTGAAGCTTGTTATTGGAAAAACGCAGGAGATGAATGTAACGAAGAGTGCTAAGATGAAGAAGACTATGAAGAGCAAAGAGGGTGTGTGGTTTCACGATATACAAGGGAGGGGTTGTGAAGGAAGGAAGGGAGAGAGAAAGAAGGAAGAAGGAGGTGGGTGGTTTCTGATTCCTCTTCTCTCGTATTGACCGTGATTGACGCGGTGATATTGGTTGACGAAAGAGACGGGCGACGGAGATCAAGAGACTTGAGTTAAAGCCCTGTTTTGGATCATTTCGCCGTTGAAAAGTCGTAATCACGAGCACAATCGGAGAGAGGCCTCTATTAAATTTTAGCCAAATGTTTGATATGTTACGATTTCATGAATTTACATCGAAGTTATTTCTTATAACAGGATCATTTATCGAGCAACACGTGTTCATTCGTGAGATTATATCTATAATCTGCAAAGAATCTTTAAAGGGCTGACCACAAAAAAAGAAAAGAATTTTTAAAGGGTTACCATTTATCAAATAATTGCTACGTCTCGCTTGGTTATTGTTAAAGAAAAGTCAATTTTGATTATTTTATGAAAAAAGGCCAGTTTTTCTTTTCTTATATAGGGTGCAAGATCCCCGGTGACGCGCGTTAAGACACGCGATGGAACGTTCAATTTGTGGCGTGTATTCGGTGGTCCCGGAAATTTTTCCAATCTTGGGTACGTAATAATTCCTTTGGACATAAAGTTGCAATTGCACGATTCCAGTTTTGGCCTGGTTGGATGTAACCTGTTCAACAACTAAAGTAATGTTTCTGGCCTTTGGAGCGTGCGAGAGGAAAAATTGCTTCGACGCCAATCCTCAAAGAAGATTAGCTCAAAAATCAAGATTGCACGGAATCACTTTCTTGTTAGAATTTAGAGATTGCGCGTATATTCTGTTATGTTTAAATTTGAATTACGCTTATCATTCCCTCAGCATATAATCACTTCCAAAAATGCCAGAAAATTATTCAAAAAGTCTTAAACATATTGTATTGCAGTTAATTCAATCCTAAAGTTTCAATTAGACTAATTTAGCCTTAAACTTTATGACAAATTTGCAATGTATCCCTTATAGCCAATTTTGGCCGGAAATCGTGACATTGTTGAAGTTGACGTGGACGATTTTTACAATTTTTTAGAAATAATTTAGATTATTTCTTCCTCTTTTCTCTTTTATTGTTTGTCCTAAAAAAATGAGGGAATATACATGGCCGGCGACTAGCTGGTTGCCTGGCATAGGCAAGGGCCGCGACGTCCATGTTAACCACTGGTCAAGGCGAGGCCTTGATGCCTTTGCCTAGTGGCCAATGAGGGCGTGTAGGCTCTTGCTGGCCCTTGTCGAGGCCCCGATGACGGCCCTCCCTGGAAAATGAACAATGGAAAAAAAGAAGAAAAGAAAATAAAAAAAACATAAACAAATTCATAAAATTTAAAAACACAATCATAAAAGGTTGCCATGTCGAACGGCTGGTGCCCACGTTAACAATTTTTGGATAAAATTCGTCAAAAGATTTATGCCTGAATTAATCAAATTGAAAAGTTTACAATTGAATTGGCCGATATATAATAAGTTCAGGACTTTTTGAATAATTATTAAAAAAATTGTATATGTTATTTAGGTGAAATTCACGTGAAAGAAAAGTTTTGTCAGTCTAATTTCACTATATCACGAGCAATATCCAGGAATATATATGTGAGGTGATATGATTCTTCGTGCCAAGACCGTTGCGATTCGGTCAACTAATCATTTAAAAACTAAAATAGAGGAAGTTTCCCCACACCGTGCAACACCTCAATCAGTGCAGTGGAAGTCTATTTTGCACCACCTAAAATTTTCATTTTTGTAAATTACGAGCCATGTGGGTCGGCAGACGTCGCTGTCCTCATGCGGCGCCACCACCACCACATTATATTTTTACATTCCCTACCGTATAAAACGCGCCAACAGAGAACATTTGGGCAGTGATCGGACCTTAAATATGTGACCTTAAATAATCTAGAACTGGTTGATAGTCTAATAGGAAAGTTCTTCTATCAATTCAACTAAAAATTAGTAAATTCACATAAGAGTCGATGAAAACGTGTTTGTAAGAGAGATAAATAGAATATTTACCCCATGGACCGATAAGAATATAGCACGATATATATAAGTCTGTCCATCGCTGATTGGTTGTTCCGTAGATTAATTAATAAAATTAAAAAAGGTGGAGGTCGTCGCTTCATGGGCAAACAGAAACTTTGCTAAGTCGTCCGCGCGGGTGTTGGGATATTACACGGCAATGATGACACATGAATGCATTTGCGACTCTGCTCTTCATATATTATTAGTGACATCTTACGAACGAACCAGTAAGAGCTAGTGTTGTCATATATATTGCTGTCGCACCGAAAAGAAGACTGGACGTATCTAAAGCGAGCCCATAAAGAACGACTGACTTTGAGTCAACCGACAGGTGCTTCTCTTTTGATGTGGCCTAAAACAATATGTCGGGATCATCTCACCAACATGGCGCCATCGTTCAATGGACTTCTTAAAATTCTAACGCATTGCACGGTGAATTTCGTCGATGCAATCTCCAGCAAATGAATGTGTGGTCGGAGAAGACTAATAAGCAATGTACCTAAGGGGCCACGACCCGTGTTAATGTTAACATCTTCTGCTTCTGCATGTGATTTGCATTCGGTTCCTATCCTTGCCATGCAACTGCCCCGAAAGGAAAACAGAAAGAAATGGTAGTGTTTCATTGGAAACAAGACCGATCCTCCTTCAACTTAAGCATGAAAAACTTTGGGATCGATCTGGAAGCAGACTAAAGTAAGAATGAGGAAGCCATTTTAGGTTTATAAAACCGGGGAAATAACGATCTCCTCCTTTCTTTTCCCTAAGTTAGGGTTTCCTCTCCTTTCTCTTGAAGCCGTTGCCTCTCTGCAATGCCGTCCCCTCCCTCCCTCCCTCCCTACCCCCTCTTCCTCTCTGTCTCCTTCTTCCCTCTTTTGAAGTACTCTGTCTATCTTTTCTCTAATGATTTATTCTAAGAGTTTGTGTGTGTGAATAAATTTATACAGCTAATCATAGGTATACATGGAGACTAGTTCGGGCATTCGTCTAGTCGACAGCTACCGAGGAGGATGTTCGTACCGTGACTCCATAGTCTCTCCGAGACTAGGCCGCTTTCCTCTCCCGATTTAGATTTAGGTCAAGTTTTGGGGGTTCTACTCTCTCAAACCAATTCTAAAATATAGATCCAGCAGCTCCTTATAGGTATTTAATTTGTGTTCTTTCAAAATTTTGATGTTGGTATCTCTGCACGGTAATGGAGATGAGGACATTGAACCTAAACGCGCACCGCAAACCATTGTAAATGGAGTAGGAGATCTCGGCGTGTGCTCATCACTGAATCTGGTGATCGACCGCCGATCGTTCACGGTAGTAGATCTGTTCTTTAAGGCTGAGGGTGTGCTTCTAGTTGCGGATTGTGCTTTGTTTTGTAGTTATTGTGGATTTGCTAAGCTTGAAAGTCTTTTATGAACTTGTCGAGTATTATTTTGATATATGAATGGCATATTTCTTTCGCCAAAAAAAAAACCAGGGAAATACTCCATTGATCTTATAGAAAGGGTATGTGCGTAATATGCGGATGAAAATCCGAGTGGATAACTAAATATGAAATTATTTACACTTGATGCAGAATAATGGAATATATGTGATGTGCCTAGTTCACATGTAAAATATTGTTTGGCTCTTTGCAATATTTGTGTTTGAAATCCATGTCTTGTAACTGTAATTGTATTGTGTCGTAACTGTCTCGTGAAGGAGAAACTATTTGAATGAACATGGACCCTCGACTATATATAATTAGAATCATTAATAGTTATGAGATCCATATGGGTTTCCCATGAGACCTATATGATCAACAGCTTTGGTTGGTCCAATCTATGTAGACAACGGTTTAGAGACAAATCTCACCTCCCTTAATGTGCCCTGATGCATATGTTCGACTTCGGCAACGCATATTCTCAACTTCAACACTTCGAAGCTGAGTTAAAAGTAGCTTTCTCTATATTGATTTTAAAAGGTTTTTGTTAGCATAGCAGTTTTTAAACCACTGTGAGAGTAACGACATGTTGCGAGTCACAAATTCTTGAAGGAGTGGACCCCATAACGATTTCTAATTATTTGTTATTTGTTTTTTTGTAGTCCAAAACAGGTTGTTAGCCTCACTGTAGATTAAGAACTAGGGGTGAGCATGATCTGGATGGATGGTTTCTACTCTAGAACCAGGAACCGCCCACTAAGGATCAGTTCCAAAAAATTAAAACCTAAAATTGGTTCTATGGATCCACCCGGGAACCGGACTGCCGGTCTGGTCAGGTTCCTAGGTGGGTCCATGAAACCGGTCCCACTAGCCAAGGATGGAGATGGAAAGACGGAGACGGAGATGGAGATGGAGATGGAGATGGAGATGGAGAGTCGGAGACGGTGAGGTGAGTATCGACCGAGAAGAGTGACAGAATGAGAATGAGTGTGAGGCGAAAGCGAAAGAAGGTGTTTCTCGGCTCAGTGTGAGGCTGTGAGCGTCTTTAGGATTTTTTTATTTTTTTTTTTAAAAATTAAAAATAAATAAATAAATATATCCTTACAAAAAAAAAATTAAATAAATAGATTATATATTTTTTAAAAAAATTAATTTTTTTTAAAAATATTATATTTATTATTATATTACCGGTCCGGTCTGGGTGGGCGGTTCCACATCTGGAACCGGGAACTGGAACCGTACTCACCAGTTCTCAAAAATTGGAACCGAGAACCGAACTGGTTCTCTTAGGAACCATCAGTTCCGGCCAGTCCCGGGCGATTCTCGGTTCTTTTGCATACCCCTGTTAAGAACAGTCATGTAAGTATTTATTGTTTCAAAATTAGTCCAGAGCTTTTTGCCTCTGTGTTATATATACGCAAGTGGATGGTCTCTCTATAATAGTTATGAAGCACGACTGTACAGCTGAGAGCCAAGAGAAACCAGACGAGAAAAGAAAAAGAATGTCGCGTTTTAGAAACAGTATGGCCGGCCTCAAATTGAGGATGTTTGCCATACCCATATATTATCAATCCATGAAATTTTCCATTGCACGTTC